ATCGTCTTATTAAATAGAATTATATCCTCGATATAAACTAGAATATTTGCCTATAGTTATTTATTAAGGCCGCGCTTATCTACTAAGTATCTTATACCCTATCTGTTTTCGTTAGCGTAAGCCTTCTAAAGACGATTGGGCTAGGGGAAGGGTTAAAAAACAAACCGTACGAACTACCTTACCTATCTTTTTGCTTATCTCGTATTTAGTAACTCGTATATAGTAGATTCGGAAATACTTCTAATCCGCTTTAAAAGCGCTAGCTTTCGTATAGCCTTTCTAACGGCGACTATTAGGACTATACTCTAACTTTAGGTACTAATTTAGAAACCGATATATCTTATTTAGAGACGCCTTACGTAGTATATCTTCCGTATCCTCCTATTTTAGATTAGTAGATAGCTCTATCGCTTTTATTTAGTAGAACCTAAGATAAGGTATATTAGTTAGCCGATATTCGCTATAAGCTTTAAATGATATCCTAGTTACTTACTAAGCCTAACGCTCTTTTAGTCGAAGTTTTAACTTCTTCGTTTTATTAGATCGGCCGTAATCCTCCGGTACCTAGGCTAGGTCCTTATCCGTATTATTATCCGGGACTTAGTATCGGGCCTAGTAGATACGCTCTATACTCGATAAGTCTACTAGTAACGATTTTGTTTTAGAGTTTAGACTTAACTTCTTCCTAGCAATTGTTTGACCCGCTAGAGGGGAGTATTCCGGCTCGGTAAGATCGGTCTTAGAGGAATCGGGCTCGAACGGTCTATTATCGTCGGTATCGATAGGAGAGGTATAAGAGGATTCGCTCGTAATTCTATAGTTGCTAGTATTAGGCGACCTCTAATAACGTATAGCTAATAGGTTTCGCCGACCGTACGAAGGAACTATCTCGGAGCTCGAGACGTTTTAATATACGACTAAATAGATAAAAGAACAACAAAAGATTAGAGAGCTTTAGAGTAGTACTTAAAGTCGGAATAAGGATAGTATTAGACGGAGGATAGATAGTCGGTTAGGAAGAGGATATTTATAGCTATAGTAGCTAGGTACTAGCCGGGATATAACTAGTATAGTACTAAAGGAGCTATTTTCGGCGTCCCTCTCTTAGGAGTGGTGGAGCGATTGAGGAGCCTTCTAGGAACCTAGGATGTAAGCGCGCACGAGATGGCTGTCTGAGGTAGAAAGCGGTGAGTGGTATGTGGTGCGTGGTCGAAGGGGGCGGGAGCGTGGCGGAGGGAGGTTGCTAAAAGGCGGCCATTTTTGGCGTCACCTGCGGCCGAAAAAGGCAGCCAAATAGCAAAACGCAATTCTTATTAAGTAGAAAATGAGAAAATAAAATGGAGAGTTTTTATTAGTGGAGATAAAGAGATATAGTGACAGTTTTCGTCCTAAAAGGGGGTGTTAGAGGTTACGTGACAGCTATGTGGGGCTGTATGTGATCCTAGTCTATAGGACTTATGTTTATGTTTAGACGGTAGCTAGTCTCTCTCTCTCTTCCTTTCTTTTTCTCTCCAGAGTCTACAATATTAATCCCTTGAGGTTAACTTTCATTCCTGCATAGCCTGTATTTCATCTAACAGATCCGCCCCGGATTTGCTTCTACTAAGCTCAGCAAAATATCACCTGTATGCGTTTCCACCCCCGGTAGGCGCTTACGGGTAGCTGGTAAGGATAAGGGGCTAGTAATTACTAGTTATATCCGAGAGTATATACGAGTCTTTATAGGAATTAAGTCCATCAATTGGTACAATTGACCATAGATAAGATTTATAAAATTAATAAGATCAATAAGAGTAATTAAAAGAAGAAGAAGAAGGTATTTACATAATAACTTTAAAGTGGCATTTAAAGTTTTCAAAGTTTAGCCCGTATAGAAGATATACCTACTTCTGTCTATATGAAATATATATATCTGCACATTGACAATCTATCACCTATTGAACCCCCGTATTAGGCTAGACTAGGGCCAGCGGGCCGAGATCTTCCAAGTAAGCCTACAGACTAGAATATGCGTAAAAAAACAGGCATTATTCGGCAGGTTTATGAGCGCCAAGACGGGATTTATGTATAGAAATGGTCTTTATTGGGGGCCTCATAGGCCCCTACTAATGAGCTATAGGCTTAGTTGGTCTTTGAAGGTAGGGCCCATAGCCCACTGCTGGTTGTTTTATGGGTCTAAGGTCCTGGATCAACTCGGCCCATTGCGGAGGTCTACCATCTATTATGGTTGATTTGAACCCTGGCTCTATAAGTCTTGGTACCCTATAAGAAGCATTAGCATACGCGAAGAAAGAAGTGTCGTCAACCTTACTAAGAGTAATATAAAGGTTCGTTGTATCACTAAGATACCTATAGACTACACGAACTGCCTACAAATCATTAGTCGGAGAAGCGGAACGGTATTATAACTTCATAACACTGAATTTGATATCAGGTCTGGTTTCAACTGCCAACCAGTTGAGTCTACCAACAAGCGACCTAAAGAACGTGTGCTCTTCCCGGTTTAAAAGAGTCTCGGAGTCTTCATTGTTATCATCCCATTTGGCTTAGCCCTAAGAGAGGAGACTATCTGGTAGTTGACATATGACAGTCCTGACAAACAAGGTTATGTGCTATGATCCCAACACTAACTGACTTTGCTGATTGTAAGAATATACTGTTTCAGGTGTATGGCCTGTCAACCGGGTAAGATACGCTGGCTTGGGAGAGGGAACAAAGGTGTATTGATCTGTGTGTGCCAAGACTAATTCTTGCCAGAATTCAGGGGGTCCCCGGGGGACCCAAGATTAAAAGGAAATGGGCCACACGATTCACACACGTGTCAGAATCTTCTATGAATACATTCCATATTCCTGTTTCACCTTTGAAAGGACCTTTATCCTTTACACTGATAGAGGGAGATTAAGGGCACACGTCGGTGTATGACGTAACGAGAGTGGCAAGACCATTATTGTAGGTATGTATTATGTTTGTGTTGTTTACAGATATTTTGACCCGCCTTTCAGCTTCTCCTTACATAGGTACGCTGGTCTCTGATCAGCACTTGACTGATCCAAGATACCTGCATGAACTCATCACTACTAGAAAAACTCGCATATCTTTCAGCTTAGCCCCATCGGTGATCATGCAGTTAATGTGTCATACATGAACTCCTTCCAGTTAGAAACAGTACATTTGTTTGCCTGTTATGCATGGGCAGACGGATGTTTCTTCTCCGCAGTATCACAAACCGAATCAGGCAGCCCCTTGTGCATAACGTGAAAAAGGCATTCCTATACGTGGAGATAAGACACAGACGATCCATTTAGATTCTCCACAATATCGCTCGCTGCTTTTCGAGGCGCGTCGATATTCCCATTCCCCTTCTATTTCAAGGCTCACGTATACGCCGGCCAACCACCTTTTGCAGCCGAGCGACCCTTAGCCTGCCGATCATTTAGCTGGTCTTAGTGAGAATACTTTGGTTATGTTGGTCTTGAGCATATAAATATTTCCGTTTTCCATCGCTCTTTAGGTTTTGATACAAACTTCTTTCTTACTAGCTAGCTACTTTTCCAGTTTCTACTAGGAATTCACTCAAAGATAGACACAATGCGTCTGCTTGGTATTACTTCCTTCGTTGCCCTGGGCATCTATCTTACACCCGCAATTGCCAAATGTTGTCCACGTTCTAGCTGGGACCCAGAACCTGCTGGGGTAAGTATATACATAATATATACTTGGCTCTGGGACAATTCAGCTGATTTGTATGTTCAGAATTATTGTGGTAGTACAAAAGTCAGCGGGACGTATTGTGGCAAAGGACGTAAGTCACCATATCCCCTTTATCATATGTTTTATAACTCGTGCTGATACCTGGTTAGCATGCAACGTGTTTGGCTGCAATTGTGATGGTGGATGTATCGGTGATGATTAAGGAATGCTGGAATGTGTGGACGTTTGCATTGAATAATATGTTATACGTCTGTTTGGTGTAACTAGGTCACCTTATGGGACCTAAGTGAACTTCTTTGTTGGAGAGAAATCTCCGCTCCCACTTCTTCAAGTGCCCCAACTACTTACTATCATTTATCAATCTATCTATTATTAGGATACCATTTATGAGCCTGGTTAAGGGCACCATACATAGTCTTTTAAGACGAGAAGATTTACAAGGAATCTAGAGCAGAAAATGAATCGGGTTGAAGGTCCGAACAGAACGGGTGCGCGTCAGAATGCGGTTGGAATGAGAGCCAAACGACCTGTATTGGTCGTCGATCTCTCTGTCCTTGCATCCGGGCTATCGGGGAGACTTGCACTTATGGGGCCCAAAATGTGGTTGAATGCTCGTTTGGCCATGACGATAGTCCCCGGAGACTCCGATAGCATCCCAACAGGAAGTTGTAGCTGAAAATTACGTCCTCAATTGATGTAATCCTTGTCCAGAAGGCTCAGGGAGAATAACACTTGCATATCCAGCTAGCTTCTTCAGGTTAATCAACTGTGTCTCCGCACGATGTTGCCTGATAAGGAAGAGTCACCTATAACAAACGGTGAAGGTGAAAAACGTGTTTTTAAAACCTGATTGGGTTCATCCGAGCGCTTGGTAGGGTTGCCGGGCTTAGTGCCTGAGGTAGATAACTATGTATGCCTTAGGTAAGTGAACCTTGGCTTGGCTAAGGGTTACTAAGCGCATAACAACCTTAACTTGTTGACCCAAGCGAAGGCTTGGCAAGGATTATGTAATTAAGTAATGCCTACAGGCCGCAGCTAGTCAACCAATTGAAAACCATGCGATCCTTACAGAATCTCAACCAGACCGATGAGCTTTGGACACAGGGGTCCGATGAGCTGTGCTCTCCAACCCTGCCAAGCGCTGTGGGGCTACGTGCCTCAGGCACCCATGCAACCCCATCTCGAGAGCTCCAGATGTTCCGTTCCCTCCTTTTCGATAACAATACCTGCTGCTTCAATGCACCTTAAAAGCGACAAAATGCTCCAGAATGTACGGTCTTTCTTAAATGGGTCTTCTGTGTCCTTTCAAGTCCTCTCTGATCTCCACCTTGAGAGTAACCAGCAGTATCCATCTTACGAAATTCCAGTTTGCAGAATATCTTATTCTTGCAGGTGATATTGGGCGCTTAACGGACTATGATGACTATCGCAATTTCCTACAAAAACAGACAGATCGATTCAAATTGGTATTTCTCATACCTGGAAATCATGAGTTCTACAATGGGACTTTCACGGCAGGGCTGGAAAAGGCTAGACAACTTGAACGGGAACCTTCCTTAAATGGACGATTACATGTCCTTCATCAGAAATGGTTTGATATACCGGGTTCTTGTGTCACTATCCTAGGCTGCACACTTTGGTCAAAAGTGCCTCATGAATTGACGGATGTCGTCCGGTCAAAGATCAAAGATTTCCAAAAAGTCGAAGGCTGGTCAGTCGATGACCATAATGCAAGCAATGATTCAGATCTCGCTTGGTTAATGAAAGAGATACATTTGATACATAAGGAAAATGAAAAGGCAGAAAAGCGGAGTAAAAAGAAAACTATTCTTGTTGTGACACACCACGCTCCTTTACTCCAGAGGACGTCGAGCCCGCAACACGTCCAGAACCCTTGGAGTGTTGCCTTTGGGACTGATATTCTATCACAAACACCAGATGGGGTGAAAGTCTGGGTGTTCGGGCACACACATCATACCACTGATTTCAAGGAGGGAGGGGTAAGAGTTGTGAGCAACCAACTGGGATATGTGCTGCCTTGGAACAATTCGAAGACGCAGGATAGATTTGACGTGAGAAAGGTTATACGTGTATGAAGGTTTACATGTACTTTTCAGTCTCTAGCCTATGGTCATATCAGCAAGCTTCAGCCACGGACAGGAACGTTAAAATGTAAAAGCGACGTATTTATAGAAAACCGTCCATCCCAAGGCTTTGCGATATGCCACTCCCTTCCTATTCGAGAACGCCAAGCGACGCCAAGACAAACGCCCCTGATGGTGATATGCCGCTGTACGGAGTAGACAGCGCATGATTTAGCTAAATGGGTAGATAAGAGGCTCGGATTGGGGCCGACATTGTAGATTGGACCCTACATCAATGCTCTGCAATTTGTTCATCAAGTCTACTGGTCCGAGTAGTATTTGTGGGGTTGGACCCTTGGCGTTGCCACCGCATCCTGAAGGCTGTGTTAGTATATACGAGGCAATGATTGACATGACATCGGAACCATTTTTGTGTTCTATGGTTGCATATACGATAGATATATAAGTGATCTTGGACAACGGGTATTCCCTCTATGTCTTGTCTTTCATTCATATAATCACCATACTATTCAATATCTCATAATACTTAAAATCATGTCTACAGCCTTAAACCAACAACCCTCCCCCTCTTTCTGCATCGAAGCAGTACCGAGAAAAAGAAAAGAAATGGCTCTCGCTTCTGTCTCTACGATTTGGAGCGGTACTATGTACCATGATAGGGATAGTCTGCTTTGCCTGGGCTATGGTTCAGCATCAGGAAGGAGTCATTTCAAGCGATGGGCTCGGAGAAGCATGGTCTACCATGCTCCTAGGCACAGTAAGCGCAAACATTCCCACCATGATGGTTTTATCAGGTGTTGTAAAGAAGGCTTGCTGACTCTACATTCTCGTCACAATCAGACATCATACGGATTCGTCTGGTCCACTATATTCCTCATCGTCGTCCTTTGCAATTGTGCTGTTCACCCTGGTGTCATCGTTGCATTCGACTTCATTGCCTTCGCTGGCCAGTTTAGCACAGTCTGCATTGATTTGCATGAGCTTGCCTATTGGAGCCTTGGTGGTTATGGTTACTCTAGTACCCATAATGTTGGCCGATTATATGGGGTGGAGTGTTTGGGGTGTTCAATGGTACTTGTTGGAAGGTGAGTTTATTATTCCTCTTTTCTTTGTGTTTTTATATCTGACGGACGATGATAATTTAGCCTCTTCAACCTCATCCTTTGTGTGCGTGCCTCTTTTGCCTGCCATAGGCTGCGGAAGGCTGGAAAACAGCTGGACAACAAACAGACCATTGACGTGTGATGGTCACTGGTGGCTATTACTATTACTATATGCGCTATCGCTTGAAATAACTGCATGGGTTATTCGAGGGTTTAATACTGGGTGAGGTTCAATGTGTAATGTTTAATGTGTAATCTGTGCTGTTATAATATCCCTTCATCTAATGTCTAATCTAACAAATGAACATCTTATTCTTGAAATACCCTGCATACTTACATTTTACTCCATCGGCGAGAAATCTCAGTAATCGCAATCAACCATAGCATAGTCTCAGGACTATCTTCCTCTCAAACTCCCCAATTTTGCCTATCACTTCAGCAGCCTAATGCTGGCAGTAGTAGCAGTCAAGCTAGTCTGCGCAAGAGACTCCCCATTCGCACCAACAGCCTCCGCAACAAATCTAGCAGAGGAGGACAATGCAAAAGTCGACTTCCAAGTAAAAGCTGTCTCAAACGAATCCCTATTCACCTGACCAACTTGAGTATTCTCTTTCCCGTTGACGTAAAAGAATCTCCAAGCCGAAGTCTCGGTATCCCCATTCCAGGAGACATAAAGCTCGACAAGATTAGAAGCTATTTCCAGCGCAACGAGCGCCGGAATTTCCTTCGGCGTACCAGTCCAGTTTGACAAGAAACCACGGTAGCTGACCGACCCCGTCTGGATAAAAGCATGGTACAGAATCTCATTATCAGCACCAAATTCGGTGAACGCACCCTCCGATCCCCAGTTGACAAAGATTCGATTGTCAGAAAGCATCTGCGCGTTTCCCTGGGATTGTGCTTGGAGATAATAAGGTGCTGTAGCCTTGCGGAGAACTGTCGCTGTGCTATCGGTGTGGTTTAACTGGACAACCAGTGCCCGGGACACATCGTTGTATGTGACAGTGGCGTCGCCGGAGTTGTCGAAGAACGAGATTACCTCGGTTCCAGGCTGGCTTGGTTGTGTATGCCAGCGGGCATGGTGTTGGAAGCCAAAGGTCCAGTTGCCGGTTTGTGAAAAACTGGGGTACTTACCGCCGAGCCGCCAGATGATTGAGCCATCTGTGCCGTTGATCTTGAAGATCGTGCTCGTGTGTCGGGACGAGAGCAGGTAGTCTCCTTCTTCATTTTTGTCGATGCTGTTAATGTGGAAGTAATCCCATGCCTGGGCAGAAGACAATCCGCTATTGGCGTCTGTGGAACCTAGCGTCACCAGGCTTTCTAGTTGGAGGTTAGATATGGTCTCTGTCAAGTCATGGCAAACCATCTTACCAGACGGGTCAACGTGTTCCAAAGAATTCCACTCAAAGATCAACTCTCCCGTGGCAATATCATTTTCTATCAAATAATCAGAATCGGCAAACCCATTGACCAATTCTCACGATCCACAAACCTTGAAAAATCCCATTCCCCAACCACTGCTGCGAAGAATTCCCCCATAAGCCGATAAATTGGCCGGAGTCGTATAAAAGACCTCAATCAAAGCCGTCTCTCCAATAACATTAAACTCATGAATCGACGAAACCCGATGATTCGCGGCAGTCGAGGTGACAACATGCTGATAACTCTGATCGAGCAGGACATGCTGCCCGAACCCTTCACCATGGTCCCCATCAAAACTACCCTGGAATGCTTGGAGAACAGGTTGTCCCTGGTACGTGGTGGCATGGAAATTAGCCACGAACCCGGCGTAGTATCCTGTGCCGGCCCACACTAAGTCGCCGTCTTTGCGGTATATGTATGGACCGGGCCGTTCGAGGGCTCCGCCAAAGGAATATGGGGCGATGAAGACATATTCGGGGCCATTGGGGTTTGCGGCGGGGATGGTGATGTTGAGTTGAGGTGGGACGAGGTCGGGTCGTGAACGGTAGTGGCTGTTGCTGCTGCTTAGTGAGGATGTTGTTGCTAGGGCTGCCAGGATGGTTTGTTTTAGAGAAGCCATGGCCTTTTGGTATTATATAGCTTTGGAGTCAATTTTCGGGATTCTATCATTTCCTGCGTTACAAGGAGAATTGCTTAGCCATCTTATAAATAACGGATACTGAAGCTTTCTCTTCTCTGACATCTAGAAATTTAGCGCTTTCGCGATACAGTTCGTGGATAGCACCATTTTATAAATATTGAGTCACCGAATCCATAAATGGCGCAATTCCATCACAGAAGTTAAGATTATTCGCCGAATGCACTTCTTTCAACTTATTTTCCCACCTAATTGATAAGAAGCATAATCTTGAACAGCTCTAGAATCAATAAAAAATGTCCGAAGGTGGGTTTTCTCCTCTTTTTTACGGCAACTGGCGTGATCCGCGAATCGGCAATATTCAACACTATTACAAGATTGAATCTAATGGCAAAGGGTAATAATATATAGGCTTGATGCATGCACTAATACTGTAGTGATAGTCCGACTATCCTATAAACTAGGTGTGCGACACGCGCATGGGGTGAGCTTCAGTGTTGAACACGTAGGCATTCTTTTGGCCCTTCTGAACTTGCCATGGGGCATCTATATCGAAACACAGCGTTAGCAATGTTTTGATAAAAGAAAAACATAACTGAAAAGTCTTGCAACTTACCCTCTGCGTGTACAAGGTACGCGTATTTCATGACTTCGGCAAATAGGAAGCTCTCCTCATTATCGAACTTCGAGCCACCATCAGCTGTATTCACGTTGCTTACAGCGGCAAATCCTGAGCCAGTGCGGCAGGTAGCATTGATCGCTTTGAAACTGTTCCAAACCCAGTCGCGGTACTATATGGGTCAGTATGTTTGGAATATCAGTAGAAGGAAGAACGGCTCACGATTTCATTCCCCGTGACGCGATAGGCGTAGTAGAAACTCTCGATCACTTCAGGGCGCAAGTCATATGCGCCGTTGGTGATGTAGAATCCGGCCTTCTCATAGAAATCTTTTTGGTCGGATGGCACTTTCTTTGGGTCCCAGCCCCATGATTCTGGTCCGATGCCGGTCAGGGTCTGGTTGTAAGTAGCCTCACAGCCATCCACGAGCTTCAAGCCGAAATCTATGAAGTCTGGCCGATCCAGTACAGTTCCCCCCAGGATAAAATTACCACCATCGAAACAGGTCAGGTGCTGTGAGCTAAGATCATATTGACCGTTGTAGTATGAGGCCAGCCAGGTTACTTCCGGGCGAGGGGCGGGATGCGATTGGAGGTGTTTGATTGTCGACTCGGCTGCGAGAACCCAGCGGTCCTTGTATGACGCGAACCGCTTGGGGTCATACACGTACATCTTAATTAGGTACTCGTAGAACGAGTCGTCGCCACCATTCCAAGAGACAGCACCGTCGGTGAAATGGCCGTTGGAGATGTTGATGTTGCTTCCCACCAGGCCGGGGAATGGTTCTCCGCTCGAAGGCTGAGGCTTCAAAAGGTATGACTGAGCCTTCTGGCTGATCTTGGCATACTCATCATCACCAGTCAAATCAGACAACCGGGTCCACTCTAGCACCAGAGTTCCAGTCACTGCAAGACCATTCGTTCCCGATCCATCATTTCCCTTGGAATTAATGTTAATGTTATTGTAGGGAACACCGGATGGTGTATCAAATGCAAACTTCAAGACATCACCAAGTTTCTTGGACTGGGTAAGCAGGGCATCGACTTGGGTTGGTTTGGCCCCAAGATTCTTCGTTGCAGGATCCTTGAGCAAATCATAGCCAGACAACATGCCAGCCAGGTATCGGATAGTCGTCTCAAACAAGCTGACCTCGTCCTTAGTCTTCGAGAAGTCAATAGTTTCAATATGGTCAAGGATCTTCTGAACAGCGTCTTTGTTACCCATGACAATGGCGGTTGAAAGGGCATCGACAGCGGAGGCTCCCCATCCATTCCTATCGCGTGTGAGTTCACAGTAAGAACTGTATAATCGAACATGCTCACCTAGAATCACCATAGCCATTGCTCACGGGGTGCAACTCATCATGAGGGAAAGCATGTTCAACATATCCATTCCATGCATGTTGGAAGGCTTCCTTGACAGCATCGGCCTTGGCCTGATTCTCCGACTCGCGGCGCAAGACCACCTCTGGCTCAGGGCGAGGATAGGCCGCAGAAGACCCAACGAGGCCTAGCACCAAAGGAAATGACAAAGAGGAGATGCGCATGATTACGCAGTGGATGAGGTTGGGTATAGATATACGGGTTTATTTAGGGACGATCGCTGGGTGCAAGGAGCACCTGTAGGAATAATTTGAATTGCGAACGAGGGACTACCTGGACTGCAACGCAGCAGGTTAATGCAATTCCTTAAATATTATGAAAGTGTGGAATGAGGATATAATGAGGTTACAGTCGACAAGAAAGAGGGCGAAAAGGGGAAGGCACGCGGGCACACACGCGACCCCGACTTGTTTACTATTTCCCCCAAGTCACTTGCATTCTGATCTCCATAAAATCGGGTCTTGTACGTTTTGAATGGCCATTCCTGTAAAAAGAAAAGGGTCCAATCGGGCAAGATTCAGGGGTGTTGGTGATCTGCAAGGGCGCCGCCAACTATTGGCGCGCATCGGAGAATGCAAATGGCCGAACTATTTTTTGGTCTCAGTTTTCACATATTTGGGATCTTGTTGGATATACCTAACACGATTCCATATTCTAGACCTTTCGTCGACTCGGATTTCCCCAGAGACTATTAGCTATACGAGTGATCAAGCCAGACGACCACTTGACGTGACGAGAAAACATGACGCCCGTCTCCGGGTACCTCATATCCAGAGACCAGGATGTACCTGACTAGCACGCGGTCTTGGCTGATAAAAGCCCCTGGCTGTCACGCCGAATGTTTTGACATGCAACATACCCCTCAAATGTGATGAGGTTTTGTCACCAGACTAGAGTCTCTGACCCCGCCAATATATCAAAGTCACTGTCTCCAGGTTTCGAGATCCTTATGGACTTGGTTTATGTCCAACCGAGGGACATTTATGTCGATGTTGGACAGGCTCGTGCCGATGCATTGGGAATTTGGGCTCCAACCACTTGTCTCAAGTACTTTGTAGTTCGGAACTATCGGTTGAGAATACAACATATGTACCTCGTCTATAGTCCGGCATTGATATGAGAAATCGCCGAAGCGCAAGTGTCTTGAAGTTCTAGATTACAATTTATTCGAGATATATGTACATAACTAGATAGGCAGTTTCATGTTAAGTCATCAATTTAGCCTAATCATAGGATCAAAGAACTGATCTAAACTTTGTACTCTTTTCCAGCAGACCTTCCATCAACCTTGTTGAGAATCAGTTTCTCAAGATCAATGTCCTGTAGTAGTCGGACCTAATATACTTAGTAGCTGCAATATAATATCGGCCATTCGACTTACATTGACAGGAGTGATCGGTGGGAATCCCTCTTCTGGAAGACGGATGAAACAACTACTTCCGCACTCCCCGCAAAATTGATGCTTCACCTTGCCCTCGGCAAAGCGATAATCTTTCAGGACATCCTCCCCCCTTTCGATGGTAAAATTCTTGGTGAACGGGTACACAAGCAAGTAACCGTTCTTTGTGCAGATGGAGCAGTTGCAGGTATTGGTGGGGTACTCATGCAGGGGTGGGGATATCGTGAAGCTGAACCGCACAGCACCGCAATGGCAGTTACCGGAGTGGGAGCTGCTCTCGCCTGTGGGGTTGGGTGGAAATGGCATATTGATATTAAAATAGCGTTGACGTTAACTCACAAGGTCCTTCCTGGGAGGTTGAACGGCTTTTAGCTGACGGGCTTACGCTAAGCGTGCTTACGCTAAGTCTTCGAATCCTTCGCGCTGGGCAGAAATTTGATGAAACAAGTCCCGCGATACTCCGAAAGGGACATTTGTGGTCGCTAGTTATGGTATTCATCCTTTATACACCTTGTCTTACCTGTTCTCTTCTGACGCTTCGGGACCTTGCATGATGCATCTGATATTGACCTGATGACCTTACCCAATGGTTTCCGATCATTCTAGCATACGCTTCTTCTCTCGCCCGGGATTCCAGCTCAAAACATCTCGAATAAGTCTCAGTGTATTTTTTTTTTTTTCCAGGTTCCTGTAAGCATCTCGAGGGAGGCAAGCATTGTTCCCCTTGCTGCGGAAATAGCATGGCTCGCCTTGTTCCCGAGGGACTGTTTGAACATTGATCGCTCAAAAGTCGAAGGCACCAGTGTCTTGGGGTGGCAGCTGTGACTGCTACATACATTTCAGAGAATCAACTGTTGTTCTGATCGTATTAACGACAACAGCAAGCATGGGTCTGTATGCATCCAGCCCGCCGTCATATGGTCTCGACGTAATCACGACTTTTAGTCCGCACAATACAGACCATTTTCGAGCATACGGCGCCAAATATGTCTTCGACTACAATGGCCCGAAGGTGATTGAGAAGATCAACGACGCCCGATCTACAATATACCAGGATGACAAAAAAATTAAAATGTATGGTCTTCATGGTTAAGGCAGACATAGTTCCATGTTCGTGATAAATGAAATATCCATGCAGAAACGCAAAGATGCAGAAATGTCACAATTTTATAGATCACAAAATCGAATCAAAATCAAAATCGCATGATAGAGCGATCCCGGCGGGTAATCGATGATTCAGCGGGGCCGGGAAAAAAAAAGGTTGCACGAGGAGTCATCGCTCTCCTCCACAATTTCCCCGTTAATTCAAAAGGGTCCTATCTTTTAGGGGATTTAATTCTCCCTTTTCAATCTTTCTATCACTCTACTACTATACCCGCCCATCATGGCGACCCCTTTCCTTATCTCCCACGACCCCTCCTCCCCCACCTCCGCCTCCGGACTTTCGCTCAAGCAGATCGCCTACTTCGGCCGCGTATTGATCAAGGTCTCAAGTCTCGCCCAAGCAGAGCAATTCCTGCGCCAGAACTTCCGCACCCTTGATATCTTCGTCGATGCAACTGAGATCTCCTCCTCCGGTGATCTCGTCGATATCCTCAACGCCGGTGCCGCCAAGATCTTGATCAACTTGGATCAATTGACCACTCTCTCCGAAGAACAATCCGTGCCCTCGTCCCGCCTGCTCGTCAACGCCCTGTCAGACTCTGAATTGGATACTTTGCAGCAATGGATCGCCGTCAATGCTGAGCGCAGCGAAGCGAGCGTCTGCACTGCACCTTCTACCGTCCCCGCCGCCGCCGAGAAATTGAAGATTAGCTCGGACTCCCCACGCCTCTTCACAACCTTCGGTACTCAGACAGTCTCAGAGGATGACATTACACAAGTCACAAAGCAAGGTGCGATTGCTGTCATTGCCTCACAGGCATTGACTGTTGAGCGGGATGTGGCTGGCCAGATCTCTGCCGCTAAGCTTATTGCGTCGACCGCTGTTACCGACCAGGCCAATGGCTTGTATGCCACTTCTGTCACTGATGAGCGCGGAGCTTGTCTGGGCTTCGTTTGGAGCAGTGACGAGAGCATTTTCGAGGCCTTGCGCACTGGCACCGGTGTTTACCAGAGCCGTAAGCGTGGTCTATGGTACAAGGGCCAGTCCAGCGGGGATGTGCAAGAGTTGATCCGCATTGGCTTCGACTGTGATGCTGATTGTTTGGTATTTGTTGTCAATCAAATCGGACGTGGTAAGAATCAACTTTCAAACATCATGAATGACGTTTGTGTACTGACCATGATGACTCATTAGGCTTCTGTCACCTTGGTACTGAGACCTGCTTCGGCGCATCTGCCGGTCTGTCTCGTCTCCAAAAGACTTTGGACGCCCGCAAGGCGGATGCTCCCGCTGGATCATACACCGCGCGTTTGTTCAATGAACCCAAGCTAATCGATGCTAAGATCATGGAGGAGGCTGATGAGCTGTGCCGTGCGGACACTAAGGAGGAGATTGCTTTCGAGGCTGCCGACCTGTTGTACTTTGCCCTGACTAAGTGCACTGCTGCCGGTGTTAGCCTGGAGGATATCGAGCGGAACCTTGACCTCAAGAGCTTGAAGGTAAAGCGGAGAAAGGGCGACGCTAAGGGACCTTGGGCTGAGAAGGCTGGCCTGGCTAAGCCCGAGTCAAAGCCTTCCCCTGCCCCTACCCCCGCACCCGCCCCGGTCGAGGATCGCACGACCCGAATTGAGATGAAGCGTGTAATCACTGCCTCTACTACTCCCCAGGTGGTCACCGATTACCTCAAGCGTCCTTCGCAGAAATCTAACGAAGCTATTGTCAACCTGGTGAAGCCAATCATTCAGGATGTCCGTGACGGCGGCGACGCCGCTGTGCTTAAGTACACCCACAAGTTCGAGAATGCTACATCCCTCACCTCCCCCGTCATCCACGCGCCTTTCCCCGCTGAACTCATGAAGCTGTCCCCTGATGTCCAGGAGGCAATTGATGTCAGCGTTGGCAACATCGACCGCTTCCATTCCGCGCAGAAGGGAAGCAACGAAACCCTCCACATGGAGACCATGCCCGGTGTGGTCTGCTCTCGCTTCTCGCGCCCCATTGAGCGTGTCGGTTTGTACATCCCCGGTGGTACCGCTGTGCTGCCCTCCACTGCCATGATGCTGGGTGTTCCCGCCATGGTGGCAGGCTGCAACAAGATCGTCCTGGCCTCGCCCCCTCGTTCCGACGGCAGCATCTCCCCCGAAATCGTCTACGTCGCCCACAAGGTCGGCGCTGAGAGCATTGTCTTGGCCGGTGGTGCCCAGGCTGTGGCCGCTATGGCCTACGGTACCGAGAGCATCACCAAGGTCGACAAGATCCTTGGTCCAGGCAACCAATTCGTGACGGCCGCAAAGATGTTCGTGTCCAACGATACCTCTGCAGGTGTCAGCATCGATATGCCCGCCGGTCCCAGTGAAGTCCTCGTGATTGCCGACAAGACCGCCGTCCCGGCCTTTGTCGCATCCGACCTTCTTAGCCAGGCCGAGCACGGCGTCGACTCTCAGGTGATCCTCATCGCCGTCGACCTGAACGAAGCCGAGCTTCGTGCCATCGAAGACGAGGTCGATGCCCAGGCCAAGGCGCTGCCCCGCATGGATATCGTCCGCGGCTCCCTCGCCCACTCCGTCACCTTCGTCGTTCGCGACATCAATGAGGCCATGACCCTCAGCAACGACTACGCGCCCGAGCACCTGATCCTTCAGGTCGAGAACGCCGAGTCTCTTGTTAAGGATGTCCAGAACGCTGGTAGTGTCTTCATTGGCGCCTGGACCCCCGAGAGTGTTGGCGATTACTCCGCCGGAGTCAACCACTCGCTGCGTAAGTCTCTCTCTGCAACTGCTTTCCCTCCTATCTCCCTCATTCAGTCTTGCTAACATATTTTCTTTCTAGCTACCTACGGCTACGCCAAGCAGTACTCGGGTGTCAACCTCGGCTCCTTCCTGAAGCACATTACCAGCTCTAACCTGACCGCTGATGGCCTGCTTGGTCTCGCCAAGACGGTTGAGACCCTCGCCGCTGTGGAGGGCCTGGAGGCGCACAAGCGTGCCGTCAGCATCCGTGTTGCCCACATGAAGAAGAATCAGTCATAGGTCATACATATTCTCTTGGTTATTTTTGTTTTCGGTTTTATCATGATTGGATGTGCCATGAACACAGATGCATAGTTAAAAAGCAACTCGCCATTAGGCTTTAAATTGTTTATGAATGCTTTGGAAGTAAATAAGGTAATTAATTATACCCGGCAGATCAACGGCATATGTATACTAGTAGATAATACGTACTTGATTTCCTGGGTCCACGGGTCATCTATTGAGCACCCAGTCTACCTAAAGAAGCATTCTGTCCCACAGTACTATCTACAACAGTCTACCCTATAAAGATTTAAAATAGGGCTCTTTGGACTCCTAACTCTCAATTTCTTACTAGTTATCTTACTATCTTACTGTCTTACTATCTTGATATGTAACTAGTAGGTCCCTTATTAGCAGCAATCTCTACATCTCAAGCAAGAGAAGATACCAAAAAGAAAACACATAATGTCAAAGAAGGATCGCAGTACAAGATCATGATTAAGTTCCGCGTGAACGATCAACCTATCGCTGCGTTGAGATACCGTTCCGATGTATCCAAGGGAGGGATCCGGCTTGCAAAGAACGAAGGAGTGCTAGTAAGATCAACCTCAAGGTGTCAAATCCGTAACTGGGCTTACTGGGTTTTTAACAGGGCTCATATGGTCTACAAGCAGAGCCATATTCTGTCACAGTGCCCCGTAAGTGCCGTATCTATTTATAAGCATGTGCAACAAGTTCATCTCTATCTAAAGGCCATGATTGGGATGAACTTCCCAGAAGTTGTGGAAAAATGACAAAAAGAATTAGGCTTACGGACGAGGGTTCGGTGCGTGCTGACTTTACCACTAATTACACTATCACAACCGAGTGGTAGTGCCAATGGTCTTGGTGACTACGGCGGTTACAGAGTTTATAAGGTTGGATTGATGCCGGTTTTCTGATTCAATAGGCTAGTGTACGTTCTTTGATTGCATCTTGTAGCTCGGCGCGAGCATTGGGGAACAAATGATCTTTAATAAAAGTTAAAACCGGAGACCGGTCACAATCCACAGTGGAACGAACTATGAAAAACATTGACTATTCCTCGTGGTAGACCGAATAGCACCCTACTACATGGTCGAGCTCGCTCTCTTGGCGAGAAATGATGTCTTCGGCATCTGTCAGTCTTTCATTCAGCGCGCTGACTTCGCGCAGCGCTGGTTCTACTGGGTCGGACGCCGCGGGAGGAAGAATGGGCTGTTTCGGGGCCCACCAGGGGGGTGTCACCATCCTGTGCGGCGGAGGAGCCTGGTTAATGAGAGAAGAGGGAGGATTGGCAGTGGAAGAAGGACCAAGAGTCAATGGGTCCATTTCGAGGCAGACTCCGGGAAGGGATTGCTTTTCGTAGCTCCGGCCATCTCTAAACTCGAGTTCAAAGATAGTCCAAGCCGGGAAAAAAAGTAGTAGCCCGCATCTTCGGTGAGCCTTGCTGCTAGCTTGCTATTCTGTCTACCTTTCACACACCCCTCATGTATTATTGGCTTTCGGGTGACTTCAGGTTCTCGTAAAAAAAGAAGATTGAATGGGATGGTCAATGGACCACCGGATAGTTTGACCTCATCGAGGTCATTTTCGGAGACCTCGATATGTTGTGATAGAACGGATGTGCCATTGGCACCATCCCATACCCATTTGTCAATCTTGACTAGGGCTTTTTTGTGATTGAGCTTGATGGTAATCACAACATTGGCATTCCCTCTATTGGGGTCAAGCCAGAGATCGGCATCCCGGCGGCGTTTGGCTTCAGTCTCTGAAACCCCCGCTTCCAAGATTACCGTGGGCCGCTTCTTACAGCCGCGAGGGGTTCTTCTCGGCCCCAAGCCCATATCGGGCTGTTTCTTTTTCCCATTCACGTCAATATCGGCATTTGCATATTGATCGATAGCTCTCTCAAGCCCCATGCGTTCAAGAGCCTTGACGGTGGCTTGGTTGACGGCTTGGTTGACGGCGAAGGCGATTTCAGTGTGTTCACGAGTGACCATCTTAACAATGAGTAATTTGATCCTCGGTTGAAAGATGTTCGGATCGAAACCGCAAAGCGTGCGGTTTAAATAAGGACAAAGCCCATGATGAATGAAGTTGCTACATATATATAGGGAAGGAAAAGTAGTTGCAGAGTACTCCGTACAACAGTCTACCTTATAAAGATTCACCCACCCCTAAACTAGCGGCCAAGAGATCTGCCAATTTTCTTCAGATGGATTCAATTCACTTTAGATTCACTTCAGATTCACTTTAGATTCACTTCACCTAGGATCAAGACCCTAGCTCATTTTCAGCCTTAACTGGACCGTATCAAAGATTATTAGTGTTCTCGGATACCCTTCGGATAATGGAACTACAATGTGCAATGTGGACCCGAAGGAATAGAAGAAAGAAAGAAAAAGAGAGACTACTAGGGGATAAGAGGGTATTATATTTACTCAATGGCCTAAGGCAAATAGAACTAGAGTGAGTGATAAGCTTTAACCTAGAAGGGAAGGCACCCACCTTCCTAGGTAGGCAGGTACCACTCGGGTCGTGACTGCCTTCACCTCATGAAATCTATATATAACCATCTGATAGAACTAACACTAGTAATATCACCAACTAACCAATTACCTTGAAACTTTTTAAAAGCTTGGCCATTTCCATTAAAAGATAGTCGCCATCCAAACATCGTCTGTTCTGAATCTCAAACATCGTCGACTTATACTTCAACCTTACGGACACGATTTCTACTCCTCGCTGGTCTGGGCTTTACGTTAGAGCTTCGTTCAAATCATCTAGAACTCGGCCGCAAATCGTCTCACATCCAAGAAAAGGGTGAAGCAGCTTCAGTTTGGTTATGGTGCTCCAGGTTGCCGCTGTAGCCAGGACTTGTGGGTAAGGCGGTTTAATACCTATCGGCAATACACTCTGCGTGAGGATCCAACTACTCCCTTTACTGGTGATGATCTGATACGAAGCTCCGCACATAGTGCACATCTCCCCAGGAACCCTCGTCCAGCAGGCGGCACTCGGCCTACGATTACGGCTTCCAGGTGGGTAGGAGGCAATAACGACAGTGACGCATGCATTTGTCCGTCTTGCCGATTCCAGAATGTCAAAAATCAGAAAACGTTTCACGGAGCATATCTTGGCAGCGAAAGAGTACCTCAAGCGGATGCAACCACCGAGGCAGGCCCCACAGGCTGGCATTGTCTACCCGAAACGGGTTGCGAACTCGCCGGTTGGTAAACAAGTATGGTTGAGCGGAACTGACACTTGTGTATGTATAATTTTTCCTTTAGACTGCCAGGGTACACAATATAGATATGACTAACCTCACTAGATCGGCACTATTATAGTGACTTACGACCTTATCTAGCTTTACTAATTCCTACTACTTTAAAGCCGAACCACCTACTCGCCTCCTAGAAATGTCCCAAATCTCCCAAGGCTTATGGAGTGAAGTGGACGGCATGAGTTTAGGGCTCTTTAGTATGATGAATATTGGCACCCAAACCATGCAACCGAAACGTCCAGCTGGCCATCCCGAAATCGAATTTGAAGAATGGGATATTAGATCGGTGCATTTCCTTTTGGGGGATGTTAATAGGGCTATCTCTGATGTTCCCTCCCCGAACTGACTACGGATCCAGGTCCAGTCCTCACGTGAGGGATGGCGGAACTTGTGGTTTTGCTCGTCCCAAAGCGTGAACGGCACCATATCATTCAAGTGACGTGCACCCCAGCCACCGGGGTTTTGCCAGCGTTTCTGTTCTAGGTGGGAATGGGGGAGCACATCCTATAAGTGTTGGGTGTTAGCTCGGGTGCGAAGCGGACTAATAGGCGCATTATCATATATGTTGGTGTAGGGTGAGTTTTGTTGGATACACTGAACGTGTGGGGATAGGCGGGTTGGAGATGCAACCTAGGTATGGGAGTTGCCATTATGCTGATTGCTAATAGGGGTTAATGTTAATGTTAATTAATGATTGCTGCTGCTCGACGACAGAAGGTGCTATACCCGGATCAAGGTTCAGCCGACCCAGATCGGGATCCACCGGCAGAACTATGTAAGGCCGATCATCCCACTATGTACTCCGTATTTATCTGATTTAAGACATGACGTTGGGCTCCACTCAAAATTTCAAAATCTTCAAAGATCAGATAAACGAATAAAAATAAATTTGATCAAATTAAAGCCAAATGCTCCTAGCATAATTTTGTATGTAAGCCCCCAGAAAAAAAAACGAATTCCGAAAAGAAAATGCTCAAAAAACACCAATGCAACCGAATCCCCCCACTTTCGTCATCAAAAAGAAAAAAAGAAAGTAGTCCACAGTCGTAAAGTCGAGCATCTCAAAGCTGCGCAACATCATTGAGAATCTGAACCTCCTGTCCAGGCTTGAATGCAGGAAGACCCATGTAAGGGCAACCATCACAACGGAAGGCGTCACCCAGAGCACAGCTTCCACAAGAACCAGTCTTGCCCTCAACGGTGAAGTCCAGTTCGGCCAAGTCGCCCGTATCCAGCTTCATCACGTTCAATTCTTTATCTGCGTTTGCGCGGCGCTCCTTATCCTCTGCTTCGAGCTTGTCGGCTAGACCACATGAGCAATCTTTGCAGGCGCGTCGGCGGCGGCCGGTCTTGGGTTGGCACTCTGGGGCTGAAGAGATGGTGTGTTAGATTATATAGATCTCGTGGAAATGCAATATGCAAGGTCTGGAATGGAGTGGGTAACTTACGCGGCATTATGGGTCTTGTTAAATCCTCCTCGGAGAGGAGGGTATCTTCATTAATGAGCTCGTCATCATCGTCGCGGTCGTGATTAGTTGGCGAGTCTATTCCCATTGGCGCAGCGAAGCCTGTGGAGAAACTAGGAATAACAGGGACGGCGGTTGGCGGGGTAGGCTTATTCTTCTTCTTCAGGCCGAATTTTAAAGGGACCGCGGCGGATGGGTCGAAGTTTGGTTTCTCGAAGCCGTTATCGGACTGCACGAGACCAGCCAGGACGGCTTCCATAGCGTCTGAGGCATTGAGGGCTGAGTCTTGGGTTTGCAGCTTCGCACCGGGCTTCATGGCGGGAACAAGAGTGGCGTATACCTCGCGAGTGAGGAGTTTCAGCGCCTCGGAGCGCCGTGTGCCGTCTGTGTCGGTGAGGATGAGGACAAGGTCGTAGGTTGTTGCGGGGGAGGGAGACGACTCCTGCGGAGAGCCGGTCGAGCATTTGTAGGTCTGTGATTGATCGGTCGAAGGTGCTGAAGAGGTCGCGGAGTTTATCCTCTTGAGTGGCAATGGAGGGGGTGCCAGGAGAAGGGTGCGCTTGGCCTGCACTGGCTTGGGAGTGGAGAAATCCACGTCCATGTCGTTGGAGTCAATGGTTATAAATGAAGGAGCCATTGTTGTTTTTTTTATTTTGAGATATGAAATGTTGAAAAAGAGAAAAAGATGGAGAATATAATCTTCCCTTGGAGGGGTGGCAAATGATTATTAAGCCTTGTGGATGTCTCCGCGGGCCCTTGAACTTGCTGATTAGAGAGATTGTCCTATCAGCGATGGTGTGATTACTTGAACGTTTTAGACTCTTTGCGACAACGGAGTATCAAGAGGACTTTATATTGGAAAATTTGGATGCCAGTCAGAGACAATGATTAGCAATTGATTGGAAATATCAGGGGACACCTTGGAGACTCTATCACATGACCCTCATTCCGACTCTTCTTCCTAAATAGGGGAATCGAACCCGCCTCCGCATCTGGCAGGTTGGGGGTTTGGGGCTTGATTTAGCCTTTATTCCCTCTATCTTTCCAACTATTATTAAATTCCTTTCGATGGTCTTTTCGGGGTTGCTCCGCATTGCATTTTGGGCAACGATTTACAGTTTCCCAAAGGGCATAGCTGCACCTGGGCATGTTCCTCCTTGTATCAGATATATCCTATAAAACGAAGGCCACAAGTGTATAGAATAGGAAATGTTCTAAATATAAGAGTTTATCAGACTATACAATTTCCGGTATGATCTCTGACTGTCCATATATTCCAGAATCAACCCCTACCCTCGAAACTCCTCAGATTTTCGACTAATGGCGAGATGATAAGTTGAAATATCTCATCTTGCATCTGCTCGCTTTCCAGTGTGGAGTCTTTTGTACCAGGCCAAAGGAGACATCGCCTCGCTACCTTTTCATATTCTGCGCCACTTTGCTCCTCCACAACCTGCAAGAGGCGAGTTGCAGTCTTTAGATTCACATATGCCTCCACCGGATCGTCATCCTCCGGCATGCGTAGTGCCTCTAGTGTCTGACATAAAGAAAGTTCGACCAGGACAAGGCCCAGAGGAAACAAAACCTCACTTTGAATGAGCGAGAATGTTGATTTGTCTCTGCACAGGCTCCAGGTATCCAATTCACTGCCGACATTCCAAAGGACGTATGGCTTATCGATATCCCCAGATGGATTCTTGGTAAACATGATATCGCGTGATCTCCACTGAGTTTTCAGCCAGCTCCCGTGAAATTGGAGCACGCTGCAGGCGAGATTAACCGCAACGCGGAGACGGTGGCCCCATGTGAAAAGAAAGCTGCCGCCAATAGGCGCCTTGAAGATATCACTTGAAGCCGCAATGAGCTCAGCGAGCGATTGTGATCTCAGATTCCCGGCGAGCTTTCGAACATAATACATATTGTGGCGGTGGCTTGCATCAGAGATGAACCCAATAGGTGCATTTGTCTCGCCGCTGGTCCCCACGGTAGACAGCGTCGAGCAGATGTCTACAATCGGAGGCAGCGAAGACATATCAGACATCATGGGTGAATTATCTTCAGATGACGCATCGAACGCAAACTGCACTTTGGCCTTCTTTTTGACGAAGGCAACTTTGTCTTGATTACCCTGGGGTGTCAAAGTATCCACGCTCGATTGAATAGTATCCGATTCGGCTTCAATCTCGCACCATCCCTTGCCAAGATCTATAGAGCTGTTGGAAGGAAAAATCATTCGGAATCGAGGCCCATGAGAGGACTCTTTAGACTCATCATTCATGTCCTCTGGTGGATAACTAAGAACAAAATGGATTGAGTGTTGATCCATACAAGCACATTTCCAATACTTGCCCCGTATTATTGCATTATGCAGACTTCGGGCTGATTTCTGGGCCCTTTTCTGGCGCAATAGGGGTCTTTTTGATATTCTCTGTTTCTGTCTTGTGCTTCGATAATCGGACTGCTCCACCAAGGTATTCAGGATTTTATTGGCTGCGTCAATGCGAGCGAATAGATCGAGGTAAATGCTTTTCGAGAAAATGTCTTTGAACTTCTTGACCTCTTTCTTGATAGTGGACTGGTCGACCCGATGGTTCTGTAGTATGATCAAGGTTCTGGTTAGCCCTAGACCTCGGGAGCGGACCTCCGGAGAATTGAACTATATGTTGTACTCACCACTGAAACATTCTTGTCCAATCCTAATTTTCTTGACAATTCCTCCAACAGAGTCGCAACCTCTATCATCATCCGGTTGAAAGGGTAAAAGTCTCTTCCTAGCTTTTCATGAAGACTCGTTTGCAGACTCTTTCTTTTCCACAAATTCCCGAGAGGATTGTTCCTCAGTTCATCCAACCCATCTTCGTATTCGACCACTCCATCAAGAGCCCGCTCCAATGTATTGACGAAGATGGCTTGTTGGGTTCCAAGGCTTGATGAATAGCTTTCCAGTTCCCTACGGTAGCGCCTGGCTCCGAAGCTCTTGATAGTTTCAAGACCCTGGACATAGTTATCAAGCTGGTTGATAACGAGTGGGAGAATTGCTAGGGCAACGCCTGCAGCCTCCATATTCGAGCAGTCGAACTGGGCAAGATGAATTAAAGGTCAAAAGAACGCAGAAGTCATGATGCGTAAGCGCGGCGGATCCATCTCAGCCGCAACCCCGCAGCTGCAGAATCAACCTCAAATTTCGAGGCAGGCCTATGAAATGGAACCTGATTCTGATTTTCTCGGTTCCTTTCAATCCAGACTTCAGCAGCTTCAAGATACACTCGATACTCCCATGTCAAGATGGACTCGTGAAGCACATCTGCGTCAAGAGATTGCTGGCAACTATGAACCCCTCAGTCGACCTAGTTCCTCAATTGAAGAGGTATAGATCTGAAAGAAAGGGCAACGCTTTTCAAGACACATCACCAATCAATGAGCCAACTTTCGACAAACAAGCGGGCAGTCCAGAAATATCAGTTGGGAACCACAAGCACCCCGTGATAACAACGACAACAGCCCCAGCTGCGGGCACCTCTACCACAAATATTTCGTCTGTCGTGGTTGAATGTCTCAAAGATCTAACTCGGCTTGTTTCCGAAGACTTGTCATCATTTGCATCTGAAGTTCCGCCAGCGCTGTGGAAAGACGAGCTGGGTCGTTTGCGGGTTTGGGCTGCCAATATTGGGGCTCACCAGACCGGTCAATCGTCGCTAGATCATCGATTACGGGATGCATCCCACATTAAAGAGCAGACACTTCGTGTCCTTCAGCGGCTGCAACGAACCACCCAAGATATCAATGATATTTTGCATTACTCATCCGGAGATGACGATTTCTCGGATCTAAGCGGGGATGAAGATGATGACGAGCATCAAACAGAAATGCAGTCTATTTATCATGCTCTGCGAGATACTATCAACAACCTGTTCCAAATGTCAATGCTCATCCGGCAACCAGCTCAACACGATCGGCTTCTTGGCACCAAAAGATCTGATGCAGTCTGTTATGAGCAATTTGATCAGCGACATGTCTCAGACAAATATCCCAAAGCAGAGGAGAATATCTCGAAACGTCTTGGGCTGGCAATTTCCCAACGTCGAGCCGTTATGCAGTATCGTGAACGTCATCGCACCAAGCTCGGCCAGGGTCTCAATCAGGTTATCGAAGATCAAACAGACGGGCAATCAGCCAGACTATCAGACACAGTTGCAACTGAGTTTATAGAAGTTCCACCAGCGGCAAAGGACAACTTAGAATTGTTAACTGTCGCCTCACAAACATCTTATGCTCAAACCATATTGAACGGGGCAGAAGGGGCAGTTCTCCCATCTCCTCCGAAAGACTCGGCTGATGGAGCTCCATTTGAATGTCCCTATTGTTTCGTGATCATCACCATCGCAAACCGGAGGGCCTGGGCTCGTCATGTGTTTAATGACTTGATGCCATATATGTGTGTCTTCTCTAGCTGTCCCACGCCCCATCGATTGTATGAAAGTCGCCGGGAATGGTTTTCTCATTTGCAGAATCAGCATTCCATATCTGAAACCCCAAATGTACATGTGGACTGTCCACTCTGTCTATCTTCGCTTCCATCTGGGAAGCAGTTTGAAAGACACGTAGGCCGGCATCTGGAAGAGCTGGCGCTCTTTGCGTTGCCGCGATCCGAAGACGACGATGAAACTGCAATTTCTTCTGATGAAGATTCTGATAAGTCACACGATCCGGTCGATGAGGGGCGATGTCCCCAATGTGATCGAGTCTTCAAAGATCTACGAGCTCACGCCATGACGCACAACACTGAGCGTCCAGAAAAGTGCCCGATTGTAACGTGCGAGTACCACACCAAGGGGTTCACTCGCAAATACGATAAATATCGCCACACACTGGTCCACTACAAGGGCGTCATGGTGTGCCACTTTTGTCCAGGCGCTGGGACACCAAAAGAAAAGAGCTTCAGTCGTGTTGATATGTTCAAACGCCACCTTGTCGCTGTCCACGGAGCGAAGCTGATGCCACCAAACCAACGTCATCAAAGGCCGATTTCCTCCATCGAGGGAGGTATGAACCACACCAGGGATTCCACTGGAAATTGCTCTGTCTGCAGCAAAACCTTCAGGGACGCCCAGGACGTGTTCGATCATATTGACAACTGTGTAATGCTCAAGGTGATGCAAGGATCCTCCGATCCCGTCAACAACATGCGCCTCCCTGAGGTGAACGATGATGAAGAAACGGTTGATGGTCGCCACCACTCTAGCAGTTCTAATCGCAGCCAAAATGAGGAGAAGCCTTACCCGCGTAAAGGGAAGACGCGTGTCCCTCGTCACCTTGCTCATATTCCCACCATAATCGATCTAGGGTATCCGTTCAAGGAAAAGGTTAGTGTTTTGCTTTCTAACAATGCTATTGTCGGCCACTGACCCAAGTAGGAGGATGTTATCGTCATTCAAAGGACGTTATCAAAGGCCCAGATCGACGAAGTGCTGAGCCTAAGCCGCAAGTCTAAGCAGCCTTCGCCTGTGGGAGGTGAGTGGTATCCGTATCCGTATTCCTAAGTCCCCAAAAGGAGGAGTAATACTAACCAGAACCAGACTCCCAGTCTACTAAGGAGAACGAATTGCCTGACAATATCAGTACTGAGATGCCTGAGTCCTCAGGAAGAGGCCGTGAATGGTATCGATGTTGGCTATGTGATTCTAAAAGGCTTCCAAATTTTGGTACATTCAAGAGACATTTGGCTGGGCATGATATACGCGACTGCGAGTGGCGTTGTACTGAGCCGCACTGCTCTACAATCCTCGACCTGCCAGATAAGATGTATGACCATCTTCGCAAACACAAGAGATCCGATCTGCTCCCAGCGGATATAGAGGCAACCCGAGTGAGATGTGCCCCTCCAACCATCTGTCCCTTTTGCTCGGATGAGACACATTCATGGAGTATTTATTTCGACCACATCAAGTCCCACTGTGTCATTGAGGCCGGAAACTAGGTTGAATGCGTGGTTGAGACAGGGTATTGTAATCACGAGGCAACCTTTTAGACCACAGCGGGCCACACACGCGATATGCGTCTACGAATTAACACTTAGTTAATTCCACCTACCATGCCACTAATACAATACCGAAGCTCTAGAAGTTCAATAGAGTAAGAGAGTAGGCTTGATGTTACCGAGTTTTTCCAGGAGTCGATTACCAGGACTGAAGTGGGTTCCTTGGATGCTACTGTATGCGCCGGACTGCCTCTATGGTGGTTGGTATCAATATATACAAAAAAAGATGATAGCGAGTCATCACTCATAAACTCCGTCGAAACAAAAACAATCAGCGCTTGCGCTCACGGATCTTCCACTTGATTCCGTCCTTGTTAGTGCCTCCCACGGAATTTTCCATCTTAGCCCGCTGCCAATCAAGCTCTTGCTCTGCAGTCCGGATTTCAGCGTGTTGCTTGTGCAACGCAGTGAGCTTGTTGTTACGAGCCTCGATGGTTCGTTTCCGGAGCTTGCGAGCCCGCCGAGCATCTGCAAGTGCCTGCCGCTCAGCCTGAAGCTGCTTGGGTGTCTTGCGGGTCTTGCTTGACGTCTGATCTTCTTCCTCTGATTCCGAAGCAGGTTCTTCTTTCTGTATCCTCTGCTTCTTCATTGCCAATTGGTCTTGTCGATCGTCGGCAAACACCGTCCTGGTGGGTTTCGGTTGCACCGGGGCTCCGAAATCGAAATCGGAATCGTCGTCGAACCCATCATCCTCGTCATCGCTCTCCCCGTCCTTTTTCCCATCCTTTTTGCCGAGGGCCTTGTTCATGCCATCTTGCAATTCCACTTCGCGCTCCAGGCGCTCGATCTCGCGGCGCACCCGCTCGCCAACCGTCCGAAGATAACCCTTATCTTGCGTCTTGAGCAGCTTGATTGCCTCGTGGCTCAGTCCCTGTGCTGCGGCGGATTCTCGTGCTGTGCCTTTGCCACGTCCGTGCCGACCTTGGGTTCGGTTCTTGTCTCCCATCATACCGAAGGCGAACTCATCAGGGTTGCGATCCCGCGCCTTCTCTTCGAGGCGCTTCAGCTTGGCCTTCTTGGCATTGTAATCTTTGGCACGGAGCGAGTAATCCTGTTGAAGTTAGAAAGTTTGTCTTGAAATTAGGCATGAAAGAAAGCTCGGATCATTTTTAAATATCCCAAGCGCTCATCCGCAGGAACTGACCTTGTGCTTTTCGAGGAGACCCCATTTCTCGCGACCCTGGACCTGGCCGCGCTCTTTGTGGTTCCGCCGTTGGACGGCGTTGCGCATGGACGACATGCTGAGTTTTGGTGTTGGTACTTCCCGAGGCAATAGATAGAGAACAGGAAGGGGGTAGAAAAAAGAGAAATCCGAAGATCGAAATACGGAAAAGTCCCCAGCAGAAGAGTGTAAGTCAAAGTCGAGATGCAAAGTCGGAGATCATTTTTTTCTGATTCTGCCAATAGTAATATTCTCTCCGCCCGAGCTCGGGTCACTCGCAATCAACACTTCCACTCGGCCTCGATCTTCTCTGCGAAGCCATTCAGTGAACCCCTCTCGGAACTACTTCTACCTCTCTCGGTTCGTGCTATTGAATTCTGGAGCAGCTGAACTCACATATTGTCCCTCAACAACCGGGACCAATCGCTCTCAAAAACATACTCTCCGATCAACCAGCCCATACACTTAACCCGATCAACTTCGATCTTTGCGATCGACATACAGTCCCAATGGCTACATCTTCCACATCCCCCGATACCTCTTCAACAAGTGTACCTAAGAGTGCACCAAAACAATATAATCTTCGCAACCCGCTTCCGCTCTCAGCCCCCAAGAACAAGAAGTGAAACTGCTGTACTACAAGCGAGTACGCTCCCATTGCGCCCCCGAGATTAAAGGTATGCAATTTGCATTGCTTTATATGCCAAATCCATCACCTCTTCACAGACAATGCATAGCTTTGGCCTTGCAAAAGCCGGTCATGGGTGTCAAGCGGAGGAGGAACTCCGGATCGCATGACCATGATCCACTCCCCACACCTGGAATATGCCTGAAATAACCAACTAACCCAATTGTGATATAGCATTCGCCGAGTGCGCCGTTAACCGCACCGTCACTGCAACATGGGTCTGCCGCCAGCAACGTCTTGCGATGAATTCATGCATGGTCGCCCACGCGAAGCCGGAAGAAGAGGACCGCGCACGTGAGGAGTGGTTCGCGGGGTATGAGGAACGCCGACGTGTGAAAGAGGAGGATCTTGCACGTGTCGAGAAGCGGCGTGAGGAAGTTATTCGCATGATGCGCGAGGATGAAGCGCGCGCGCGAGCGGCAGGAAAATGATTGGACATTTCCCTTTGCACTCCTTCCATCCCCTCCCTCTCTCGCTCTCTTCATTTCTTGTGTGAGTATTTCTTGTCTATACGGGTTTCGGCGTCTTGAGTATTCTGCTTCTTGTGTTTCTCCGGGCTCGGAAATTGAGGACTTTCGTCTTTGGGCTGAGTGTTTGGGCAAGGGAAAGGGCGCTATTGGAATCTTACCTGGCCTAACTACCTGATTGGCTTGGCCTTGCATGTCTCAAGGTACTCGGCCCATAATCACAGTTCTGACGGCCAGTCTAGCCTTATTCCCACCCTCAGTTTGATAGACGGACATCAAACTGATCTCGCCGGGCAGGTCAGCCCTGGACTTTGTTGGCCAATCCGGACTCGGACTTTATATCTTTTCTCTCTCTCCTCACGGCGCACAAAGGCAAACAAAGCAGGCGTTTTGCTGGGCATCTTTATTACATTGCATGATCATCCCGTATGCGAGCGATGGGATGGACTGAATTATGTACAATATACACACCAGACGATTGCATATCTTGGTTTAATTGACCAGAAGGCTGTCTTCTTTATCAGTTTATTTACCTTTATGGTCAGGCAGGGGGTCCTTGAACCTGATGTGTAGACACGAGTCATGAAATATATGCTCTCCATGAGAGTAAAAGCCAGGACACCGTCCTAGGGTAGATTAGAGAGAAAAAAGGAGAATGACAACACCAAGCGCCAGAAACACCACCAGCCCAAGGCCAAAGGCAGGAAACCCCCGGGCGTAAATGCACCCCCTTAAACATCAGTCATCTTCCGGTCCTCGTCTCCGTCACCTGCCTCGCCCATAGTGGTATCTTCGCCGAAAAGATCCTCCATCTTCCCGTCATTGTCATCCTCGTCCTCGTTATCTTCAGCTCCATCACCACCAACACCCTTCCCAGCCCCAGGCTGCTGCATAACATCAGGCATCTCGTCTTCCTCGCCCTCACTATCCCACTCCTCCTTCATATTCCACCCCATTCCTGTAAGACAGAAGCGCTCAGGAGGTAAGCGCATGCCACCGATAACAACACTCTGGTTCGCCGCAGGAACAGCGCCATTAGCACCAGCAGCAGGATCGAAGCCACGCGATACACCGGGTAAAGCAATACGATTCCTCTCCGACGCGACCTCCATAAGGAACTCCTTCGGAAGCCCTGTCTGGAACTGGAAGTGCAAGCGGGAGGCAATGGCCAGCCGCAATGCGGGCAAAGAAACACTATTCACTTCGGCGGAGCCCTTTTGCGCCCGCGGTACCGTCTGTGGCCGCGGCGTATCCTTCCGTCGCAAGGTGCACGGAGTCTTGTAGCACATTAGCGGTGTAGCGGTATGCGAAGTCGAGCAATTGGAGGGGCACCCGGTCTTGGTAGGAGGTTACCCCGAGTGAGGCGAGGAGCATGTGGACCAGCCGCACGTCCCGTGGTCGTCGCGTTTTTCCGCTGTCTTGAGTCGATATGCCGGGGACTGGTGGCGGTTGTGGCGCTGTTGTTGAAGGGCCTGTCGCTGGGACTTGGGGTTGGGTCTGGGAGCTTGTTGCGGCGGGCGCGGAGGCCCCGTTCGCGGCGGAGGAGGATTCAGCGGGTGGGGTGAGAGGTTGTGTTGTGGGTGCTGAGCCCTGTGTTTGGCCTGGGGATGCCATATTGTCTTGGATTGCTGATCAAATATCAAGCAGGAGGCAAAGAGCGAATTGTGGTGTCGCGAAAGTGGTCAATGTTGAATTAGGTGATGATTAGATAGACTGAAAAAGGTAGTCGGGGAGCATTACTGGCACAGTGCTCAGGGGCTAGGAAACAGCCAAATATTCGAGCAGCGTTCAGTGTAGGGATGTGGAGAGAGAAAGTGATGGCTAAATGAGGCCGGAAAGAAGCATGAGCTCCAGGGCCAATATCACGATTAGGTAAGCGTGTTGTCTGCAGCCCTAGTTAGTTAACTAGAGGTAGCTTAAAAGACAAGTCAAGTCATAACTATGCAATGCTTTTGCTATCCATGGACACTAACTACATTCTAGAGTATCCTTGGATAATATATATTGAGCCATTCAATGTGTTTGCGCAAGTCTGTTCACTTGTTTCATTCATTACATCCTATTCATCTCATGGTCCTATTCAATCCTCCGAGTATGTGCGCCGTGAATGTACAAAAACAAATCCAGAAACGCCATGAATGCCATGAATTAAAATGAGTCAGGCACGAATGGCCGTGTATAATGCAGTCTCCAGCTCCAGGTCTGCATGCAATAGTGTTGAACTTGGATATATCGCTGTGAGAGCAGTCTAATGCAGAATCTGACTTGATAAAGCATTCGCAAGACGGGTATTTATGACGCAAGAAATGCCTAGGGATCGATCCCTTATCAGAGAGGCATAGCAATGAATGTATGTTCAGAAATTCTGGGGCATCTTGGGCCGGATGGGAAGAGAGGTTGTGCCCGGCTCAGTTGCTTCTTGTGGTTGCTCGGCAATAGGAGACAGTTCCTCTTCACCGACAGCCCCTTCCACCGACTCAAGTATTGAGCCTACCGGGTTGGACAAGGTAACTGAGTCCTGCGACATGTAGCTTGCGCCGAGATCCTCCTCGGCCAACTCAGCCTCGTCAAGGTACTCGCTGCCTTCACCCTCGCTCAAGTCTTCATCGTAGTCTTCATCATCATCACCATCTTCGTCTTCTTCAGCCAGGTCTTCATCGACATCTTCTTCGTCTTCCTCTTCATCTTCCTCCTCGCTGTCTGTTGTCGAGAAGTCTGCGAGTTCATGCGGTGTATTTCTCCAGTATGTGAAATCCGTATATTCCTCGCCACCGTCATGCACAAGAAGGCTGGTTGGTGGAAAGAAATGGTCGAGTAGCTCTTGCATCGTCACATAACTGCTCTTGTAATTGTTAAGACTAAGCAAATCCAGAGACACTTCAGCGTTAGAGTTGATTGTGAAAATCCGCGTAGACGGAATGTTCACAGAACGATAACTCAATGCGTCGGTCAATCGATTTCCGAAGCCAGCATAGAAGGGATTCTCTTTGCCGCAGAAGAGGTTAAGAATATCCCGCAGACATGCCATCTTGAAAACTTCGGGTTTTCTCAGGTAGATCTCCCGCCGCAGAGCGGCCATCGTGCGATCAGGGCTACAGATCACTGGGCCTCTTGGTAGTCTGTATCCATCTTGGCAAATTCCGTGAAGATACGCCCGTGTGGTATCTGTCTGGCCTACAGACCGACTCGTAAGATACATGATATTGTACCCATTATTGGCAATGTCGGTGTACAACTTGGCGACTCCCGCATGAGTCCAATCTCGTCCGATCATATTGAGAACATGCCCCAACGCATCCGACTTGGTGATGGTCCCATCAATATCAGAAATCACGATCGGGGTATTGCCATTCCAAAGATACATATTCGCAGTGCAAATTGCTCGGTTGACGCTGAAAGACATTGTGTTGGCACCGGCCTTCAATTCCAAGGCCTTGAGTTGGTCACTTGTCAAGCGGAGTGTCTTGGCATAGTTGCGGGTTTCGACGGGGAAGGAATCATGAAGGGGTGAGTCAGGGGGTGTGGGAAAGCCGGGTTGCACATCTGATTTGGTTCGGTGATGGCGCGTAACTAACGATGGCTCCAAGACAGCGTGTTCGCCTTCACTGTGATATCCTGGGTCGGAGAGTGCATCATCGCTCATTCCCATGTTCGGCCGCATGGAGTGCAAGGTGGCCCTCCGATTTGCTGATTCCTTGGACTCTTCGCTGCTGTATATCCATAGATTGCCGTGTTCATCGGCTCCAATTAGCGCACCGATATCATAGCTTCCTTCAAGCTCTTCCGCAAGAATCTTGCGCGCAACAACCTCCGCGCGGAGGGCATCTTCTTCGTTGCTCTTGTAGCCAGTCATGTCCAACATCAGATCTCCAGTCTCGGTGACATGTGATGGAATATTGGAACCAGACAGCTTCTTCGACAGCGAAATGGCACGAGACACCGCTTCCTGGGGAGATAGAGGAGGGCTGCGAGAGCGGTGGTGTGTTTCGTCCTCGATATCAATATCATGGGGTTCGTCATTCCCATGTGTAGATTGACCGGACAGAGAGTGTTGGGGAGAGCTGGTAAGCACATTGTCGGACAGTGTGTGATCAAGCGGCGGCTTAGCGCTCAAGGAACCGTGCTGTGAACGGGCCACGTCGAATTCGTCGGGGGAACGCGATAAGGGTGTTATTGTCCCTGTTATAACAGTCAGTATCGAGAGACTTCAATCGAAACTAAGTGTTGAATATGTGTCCTACCTAAATCCGTGTTTGCACGTAGCTTGTTCGATGGCATCGCCATCGCCGGTGGGGTCTTTGCGCCTTCTGACAATGCATCCCCATTTCCTTTGTCCAGGTCGAGGTAATCTGGTTCCTGCAGCGAAGGGAGAATATCTGGTTCGCTCTGAGCTCTCGGGCTGGCTGCTGGAGACACCAACGGCGAGGTCTGCAAGGATGCGGGGATGTCATCGGTCGTTTCAAAGACAAAGAATGCTTCGCCCCCTTCTCCCAGTTTCATGGCATATTCTTGTTTTATGCCATTCACCTTGAACTCCACCTTCTTCTCAAATGGACGCAAAAGCGAAAACTTGCCAAACCGGACATGAAAGGGCGAACAAGCGAGGGTGCCTTGAAAGAGAAAAGTCAAATCAGTATCTTGTGTAAATCCCATCTCTCAGAGAACTGTAAATACCATCTTCTTGCTCTATGACAATGACATCAATAGCCCCGCTAAGGGTGGCCGGGTTGATAGAATTCCATGTCTTGGAGACGGAACCACTTATAGAGCGATAGAGCTGCATCCCGCCAAATGGGTGTCTAACACCTTTGACAGTGGAACTGGGTGAAGTCGGGCCAATGCAAAACAAATTCTAGAAATGCAAAAAGAAGGTCTGAACGATCAAAAAAAATATAATAAAAGAGTGAGACAGGTTGTTGGAGAATCGGGAAGTTAAAAGGCCCATGTGACTGACACTCGGAGACAATGAAGGCGGCTACATAACCAATTGTCACGAGATAATATCAGCACAATTCAACACAATGTCAGCCACGAGAATGGTATTATGAAGTCTCAGCCTGATGATAAATGAAGATATTACATATAATTTCTTCCGATTTACTCCGTACTTCCAATATTTGTTGGTTTCGTCAACAGCATTCAACGCCCAACATTTCTGATTATGTCAGCCTTGTAGAATGCCGAGGTCCCGTAGCGGCTGATCTTCGTTTGGCGCTAACCTGTTTCGGGTGACTAAGATTCCAGATCACGTGGGGCCTATCCCACCGCCCACTCCGGAGAGCATTGGCGATCCTCGTAATTCTCCCGTATCCCGCTGCCCACGTCCAATGGATTATAGACGTTGGGATGTATGAGCCGCTATACTTTGCTTTTGACGCTTACCCAGCAGTGGTCCCTCGCGTGAGAGTGCGGGGTGTCATGGCCCTCTTTCTCGCCGTCTCAATCCTATGGGCTTTGATCTGGTAAGTCCCTTGTCTGTTTCACCATTTCCTTTGCTCGACTAACTCAATGTGTGAAGGCTTCTCTACCGCGCGTGGCAGGTATGTCAAACTTCAAATGACGTCCTAGTTGAGAAGCTCGGTCTCGACATTCCTCCGCCACCAGAGGTCACGCTCGAAGAGATCACAGCCCGTGAAATCCGCCTTGCTTGGAAACAACCTGACTTCCATAACTCAATACATAAGCATATTATCCAGGTGAACAATGTGAAAGGTATGAGATACACATGATACTTTCCTGTCACTAAACAAAGCACTAACGGTCTGTAGTCGGTGAATCCAAACGAGCAGAAACAGCGGTGGAAATATCGAATTTATTACCTGGGAACATATATCATATTTGTGTTCTTTCCGTTAGTGCCGCCAACTTTCAAACGCCCAGTGCGATCCTCCATGTCCGAACAAAATCTCTTCCGCTCTCCGAAGCGCAGCAAAATGGCAACGCCGGAGGTCCAATTATCCGCGCCTCGATCCCTAGGTCTACAGTAGGCCTGCCTACACCGTCTGCACCGATAATGTCGCGCGAGCATAGTGCAGGCCAATTACCGGGGAAACGGCCCTCGGCCGGACGGAAATTTTCCCCTGCGGCTGGAAGCACGGACGTTTCACACAGCAATTTCGAAGAAACACTCAAGAGTAGAGCAAAGACCGCCAAAGATGAGACTTTGGAGCAATTAGCAGACCGTTTGAAGTCGTTGCAGCACGAGAACGAGAACGTGGAGAAGCAGGGAACAGAGGAGGAAGAAGAGCATATTGCACTGTTGAAGGACCTTGAAAAACAGCGCAGTGAATTGCGCAAGCGTGTCAGGGAAAAAGATGAAGCAAGTGGGGACTTGAAAAAGCATGTCTACAAGCTAGAAAGCGTCAACCGGACCGTGCAGGGCGAAAAGTCAAAACGCTTGCGGCTTCTTCAGCAGAAGGAGGCCGAGCGCAAGAAGCGCAAGAATGACATCTTGCGATGGCAGGAGAAGATTTCACGCATGAACTCCGATGCTGTACAAGCAAAGGATGACAAGGCCAGGATTGAAGAAGAAGGGACGGTGCGCGCAGACGAGGTCCGAGCCAAGATCGCGAAAGAGCAGGGGGAGATGAAGACCATCGATGATGAGATTCAGG